TCTGCAGCAGCACACACATTCAGTGTGTTCTGTATCTGGAGATCTTTATGATGTTAGGTGATATTATGATATGCTGCTCAAAAGAGGACAGGGCCCTTTTTTAAAGCTATCTGGTAATATTTTAACTGTGTGTAATGAAGTTAAGTATCTGGGTCATATCATAAATGACTGTTTGTCCAATCATGGGGATATGTATTGGTAGTGCAAGCAAATGTACTGGCAAGGAAATTTGGTTCATGCTCGGATGGGGTAAAATTTACTCTATTTAGAGCATATTGTTCCTCTTTGTACACTGCCCATCTATGGTCCAATTATAAAAAGGCAGTCTTCGGAAATTGACTGTGGCTTATAATGATGCCTTGAGACTATTACTGAAAAGGCCTAGATGGGTGAGTGCCAGTGAATTGTTTGTGTCACTTCGAATTAGTACTTTATTTTTTTCTTCATTAATGTACACACAGCACCCCATATTGACAGAAAAACACAGAATTTTTGACATTTTTGCAGATTTATTAAAAAAGAAAAACTGTGTTTTTCTGTCAATATGGGGTGCTGTGTGTACATTAATGAGGAAAAAAAAAGGAACTTAAATGATTTTAGCATATGGCTGCAATATAACAAAGAGTGAAAAATTTAAGGGGGCCTGAATACTTTCTGTACTGTACATCAGTACTCTGGAAACACTGGTATACTTGCCTCTTAAAGGGATAGTAGGGTACTGGTTGTTTTGTGGTGGTTTTTTAATTGTTTTTTATTATTCAGAATTTGGACCATGGGTCTGCAATAAAGTCTCTATCTAGTAATTTGACATTAAAGTTACTCGTTTCACTTTATCTTTACTTTAGATTTATGTTTAGAGTAGACCGTCTTGATAAATTCCCCTCCTCTGTAAAACGACATTAAAAGTATGCTTATTAACCATTTTTATTTTGAAACATTTATAGCGCAACCAGCATCTCAAAAACTGACACAAAATAAATCATTTGTCATGTCTACTGTTATCTATTACAACTCTGAAGACCAACACTTCCTTTGATAATGATACAGTAAGTGCCACATTTTCATACTGAACACTATCTGAGGATCCCATTAAACAGAACTCTACATGTTCAATTCCAAATAAAATAAATTGTGAAGCTTGCTATACAGCTTATTAATATCACAGTGCATTTCACTAATACTGGCATTCGGATTTCACTCCTGTGTTATTTTCTTAAACACAAAATATAGTAATAACATATTATGTGACCATGACGGGAAGAACTGCTGCACATTTGTTAAGTAGCTAAGGCTGAAAATTGAGGAGTTATACAGTTGCATTTGGGTCTTCATCTTACTGGATGTGAAGCCGAGGAGTGGATGCTCAACGCTGGAAGACAAAATCAGAATCATCTTTAATGGCCAAGTATGTTTGAACATAAATAAAACAAAAAACAAACAATGTGTGCAATCAAAACAGGTATTTATAAATGTAAAAAGTATTTATAAATATATGTACATATATATATATAAATTATGGTAGAAAAGCATTCATAGTGATATATATATATATATATATATATACAGTGTCTTGCAAAAGTATTTGGCCACCTTGCACTT